AGGGATTTGAGTGCGGAGGGATCTGAGTGCGGAGGGATCTGAGTGCGGAGGGATCTGAGTGCGGAGGAATCTGAGTGCGGAGGAATCTGAGTGCGGAGGGATCTGAGTGCGGAGGGATCTGAGTGCGGAGGGATCTGTGTGCGGAGGGATCTGAGTGTGGAGGGATCTGAGTGCGGAGGGATCTGAGTGCTGAGGAATCTGAGTGCAGAGGGATCTGAGTGCAGAGGGATCTGAGTGCGGAGGAAACTGAGTGTGCGGAGATCTGAGTGCGGAGGTCTCTGAGTGCGGAGGAATCTGAGTGCAGAGGGATCTGAGTGCAGAGGGATCTGAGTGCAGAGGGATCTGAGTGCAGAGGGATCTGAGTGCAGAGGGATCTGAGTGCAGAGGGATCTGAGTGTGGAGGGATCTCAGTGCGGAGGAATCTGAGTGCGGAGGAATCTGAGTGCGGAGGGATCTGAGTGCGTAGTCATCTGAGTGCAGAGGGATCTGAGTGCGGAGGGTTCTGAGTGCGGAGGAATCTGAGTGCGGAGGGATTTGAGTGTGGAGGGATCTGAGTGCGGAGGAATCTGAGTGCAGAGGAGTCTGAGTGCAGAGGGATCTGAGTGCAGAGGGATCTGAGTGCGGAGGAATCTGAGTGCAGAGGGATCTTAGTGCAGAGGGATCTGAGTGCGGAGGGATCTGAGTGCGGAGGGATCTGAGTGCGGAGGGATCTGAGTGCGGAGGGATCTGGGTGCAGAGGAATCTGAGTGCGGAGGGATCTGAGTGCGGAGGGATCTGAGTGCGGAGGGATCTGAGTGCGGAGGGATCTTAGTGCAGAGGAATCTGAGTGCGGAGGGATCTGAGTGCGGAGGGATCTGAGTGCGGAGGGATCTGAGTGCAGAGGGATCTGAGTGCAGAGGGATCTGAGTGTAGAGGGATCTGAGTGTGGAGGAATCTGAGTGCAGAGGGATCTGAGTGGAGAGGGATCTGAGTGCAGAGGGATCTGAGTGCGGAGGGATCTGAGTGCGGAGGGATCTGAGTGCGGAGGAATCTGAGTGCAGAGGGATCTGAGTGCGGAGGGATCTGAGTGCGGAGGGATCTGAGTGTGGAGGGATCTGAGTGCAGAGGGATCTGAGTGCGGAGGGATCTAAACGCGGAGTGATCTGAGTGCGGAGGGATCTGAGTGCGGAGGGAACTGAGTGCGGAGGAATCTGAGTGCAGAGGGATCTGAGTGCAGAGGGATCTGAGTGTAGAGGGATCTGAGTGCGGAGGAATCTGAGTGTAGAGGGATCTGAGTGCAGAGGGATCTGAGTGCGGAGGGATCTGAGTGCAGAGGGATCTGAGTACGGAGGGATCTGAGTGCAGAGGGATCTGAGTGCGGAGGGATCTGAGTGCAGAGGGATTTGAGTGCGGAGGGATCTTAGTGCGGAGGGATCTGAGTGCGGAGGGATCTGAGTGCAGAGGAATCTGAGTGCGGAGGGATCTGAGTGCGGAGGGATCTGAGTGCGGAGGGATCTGTGTGCGGAGGGATCTGAGTGGGGAGGGATCTGAGTGCGGAGGAATCTGAGTGCGGAGGGATCTGAGTGCAGAGGGATCTGAGTGCGGAGGAATCTGAGTGCGGAGGGATCTGAGTGCGGAGGGATCTGTGTGCGGAGAAATCTGAGTGCAAAGGGATCTAAGTGCAGAGGGATCTGAGTGCAGAGGGATCTGAGTGCGGAGGAATCTGAGTGCAGAGGGATCTGAGTGCAGAGGGATCTGAGTGCAGATGGATCTGAGTGCGGAGGGATTTGAGTGCGGAGGGATCTGAGTGCGGAGGGATCTGAGTGCGGAGGATCTGAGTGCGGAGGGATCTGAGTGCGGAGGGATCTTAGTGCGGAGGAATCTGAGTGCAGAGGGATCTGAGTGCGGAGGGATCTGAGTGCGGAGGAATCTGAGTGCAGAGGGATCTGAGTGCTGAGGGATCTGAGTGCAAGGGATCTGAGTGCTGCGGGATCTGAGTGCGGAGGGATCTGAGTGCGGAGGGATCTGAGTGTGGAGGAATCTGAGTGTGGAGGGATCTGAGTGCGGAGGGATTTGAGTGCGGAGGGATCTGAGTGCAGAGGGATCTGAGTGCGGAAAGATCTGAGTGCGGAGGGATCTGAGTGCGGAGGGATCTGAGTGCGGAGGGATCTGAGTGTGGAGGGATCTGAGTGCGGAGGGATCTGAGTGCGGAGGGATCTGAGTGCGGAGGGATCTGAGTGCGGAGGGATCTGAGTGCGGAGGAATCTGAGTGCGGGGGGATCTGAGTGCGGAGGGATCTGAGTGCAGAGGGATCTGAGTGCGGAGGGATCTGAGTGCGGAAGAATCTGAGTGCAGAGGGATCTGAGTGCAGAGGGATCTGAGTGCAAGGGATCTGAGTGCTGAGGGATCTGAGTGCGGAGGGATCTGAGTGCGGAGGGATCTGAGTGCGGAGGAATCTGAGTGCGGAGGGATCTGAGTGCGGAGGGATCTGAGTGCGGAGGGATCTGAGTGCGGAGGGATCTGAGTGCAGAGGGATCTGAGTGCGGAGGGATCTGAGTGCGGAGGGATCTGAGTGCGGAAAGATCTGAGTGCGGAGGGATCTGAGTGCGGAGGGATCTGAGTGCGGAGGGATCTGAGTGTGGAGGGATCTGAGTGCGGAGGGATCTGAGTGCGGAGGGATCTGAGTGCGGAGGGATCTGAGTGCGGAGGGATCTGAGTGCGGAGGAATCTGAGTGCAGAGGGATCTGAGTGCGGAGGAATCTGAGTGCAGAGGGATCTGAGTGCAGAGGGATCTGAGTGCAGATGGATCTGAGTGCGGAGGGATTTGAGTGCGGAGGGATCTGAGTGCGGAGGGATCTGAGTGCGGAGGGATATGAGTGCGGAGGGATCTGAGTGCGGAGGGATCTGAGTGCGGAGGAATCTGAGTGCAGAGGGATCTGAGTGCGGAGGGATCTGAGTGCGGAAGAATCTGAGTGCAGAGGGATCTGAGTGCTGAGGGATCTGAGTGCAAAGGGATCTGAGTGCTGCGGGATCTGAGTGCGGAGGGATCTGAGTGCGGAGGGATCTGAGTGTGGAGGAATCTGAGTGTGGAGGGATCTGAGTGCGGAGGGATCTGAGTGCGGAGGGATCTGAGTGCAGAGGGATCTGAGTGCGGAGGGATCTGAGTGCGGAGGGATCTGAGTGCGGAGGGATCTGAGTGCGGAGGGATCTGAGTGCGGAGGGATCTGAGTGCGGAGGGATCTGAGTGCGGAGGGATTCTGAGTGCGGAGGGTTCTGAGTGCGGAGGGATCTGAGTGCGGAGGGATCTGAGTGCGGGGGGATCTGAGTGCGGAGGGATCTGAGTGCAGAGGGATCTGAGTGCGGAGGGATCTGAGTGCGGAAGAATCTGAGTGCAGAGGGATCTAAGTGCAGAGGGATCTGAGTGCAAAGGGATCTGAGTGCTGAGGGATCTGAGTGCGGAGGGATCTGAGTGCGGAGGGATCTGAGTGCGGAGGGATCTGAGTGCGGAGGGATCTGAGTGCGGAGGGATCTGAGTGCGGAGGGATCTGAGTGCGGAGGGATCTGAGTGCAGAGGGATCTGAGTGCGGAGGGATCTGAGTGCGGAGTGATCTGAGTGCGGAAAGATCTGAGTGCGGAGGGATCTGAGTGCGGAGGGATCTGAGTGCGGAGGGATCTGAGTGTGGAGGGATCTGAGTGCGGAGGGATCTGAGTGCGGAGGGATCTGAGTGCGGAGGGATCTGAGTGCGGAGGGATCTGAGTGCGGAGGAATCTGAGTGCGGAGGGATTTGAGTGCGGAGGGATCTGAGTGCGAAGGGATCTGAGTGCGGAGGGATCTGAGTGCGGAGGGATCTGAGTGCGGAGGGATCTGAGTGCGGAGGGATCTGAGTGCGGAGGGATCTGAGTGCGGAGGGATCTGAGTGCGGAGGAATCTGAGTGCAGAGGGATCTGAGTGCGGAGGGATCTGAGTGCGGAAGGAATCTGAGTGCAGAGGGATCTGAGTGCAGAGGGATCTGAGTGCGGAGGGATCTGAGTGCGGAGGGATCTGAGTGCGGAGGGATCTGAGTGCGGAGGGATCTGAGTGCGGAGGAATCTGAGTGCAGAGGGATCTGAGTGCAGAGGGATCTGAGTGCGGAGGAATCTGAGTGCAGAGGGATCTGAGTGCAGAGGGATCTGAGTGCAGAGGGATCTGAGTGCGGAGGGATCTGAGTGCAGAGGGATCTGAGTGCAGAGGGATCTGAGTGCGGAGGGATCTGAGTGCAGAGGGATCTGAGTGCGGAGGGATCTGAGTGCGGAGGGATCTGAGTGCGGAGGGATCTGAGTGCGGAGGAATCTGAGTGCCGAGGGATCTGAGTGCAGAGGGATCTGAGTGCAGAAGGATCTGAGTGCGGAGGAATCTGAGTGCGGAGAGATCTGAGTGCGGAGGAATCTGAGTGCAGAGGGATCTGAGTGCAGAGGGATCTGAGTGCGGAGGGATCTGAGTGCAGAGGGATCTGAGTGCAGAGGGATCTGAGTGCGGAGGGATCTGAGTGCAGAGGGATCTGAGTGCGGAGGGATCTGATGCGGAGGGATCTGAGTGCGGAGGGATCTGAGTGCGGAGGAATCTGAGTGCCGAGGGATCTGAGTGCAGAGGGATCTGAGTGCGGAGGAATCTGAGTGCGGAGGGATCTGAGTGCGGAGGGATCTGAGTGCGGAGGAATCTGAGTGCAGAGGGATCTGAGTGCAGAGGGATCTGAGTGGAGAGGATCTGAGTGCGGAGGAATCTGAGTGCAGAGGGATCTGAGTGCAGAGGGATCTGAGTGCGGAGGGATCTGAGTGCGGAGGAATCTGAGTGCGGAGGAATCTGAGTGCAGAGGGATCTGAGTGCGTAGGGATCTGAGTGCGGAGGGATCTGAGTGTGGAGGGATCTGAGTGCGGAGGAATCTGAGTGCGGAGGGATCTGAGTGTGGAGGGATCTGAGTGCGGAGGAATCTGAGTGCAGAGGGATCTGAGTGTAGAGGGATCTGAGTGCAGAGGGATCTGAGTGCGGAGGGATCTGAGTGCGGAGGGATCTGAGTGCGGAGGAATCTGAGTGCGGAGGAATCTGAGTGCGGAGGGATCTGAGTGCGGAGGGATCTGAGTGCGGAGGGATCTGAGTGCGGAGGGATCTGAGTGCGGAGGGATCTGAGTGCAGAAGGATCTGAGTGCGAAGGAATCTGAGTGCGGAGGGATCTGAGTGCGGAGGAATCTGAGTGCAGAGGGATCTGAGTGCGGAGGGATCTGAGTGCGGAGGGATCTGAGTGCAGAGGGATCTGAGTGCGGAGGGATCTGAGTGCGGAGGGATCTGAGTGCGGAGGGATCTGAGTGCGGAGGAATCTGAGTGCGGAGGAATCTGAGTGCGGAGGGATCTGAGTGCGGAGGGATCTGAGTGCGGAGGGATCTGAGTGCGGAGGGATCTGAGTGCGGAGGGATCTGAGTGCAGAAGGATCTGAGTGCGGAGGAATCTGAGTGCGGAGGGATCTGAGTGCGGAGGGATCTGAGTGCGGTGGATCTGAGTGCAGAGGGATCTGAGTGCAGAGGGATCTGAGTGCAGAGGGATCTGAGTGCAGAGGGATCTGAGTGCAAAGGGATCTGAGTGCTGAGGGATCTGAGTGCGGAGGGATCTGAGTGCGGAGGGATCTGAGTGCGGAGGGATCTGAGTGCGGAGGGATCTGAGTGCAGAAGGATCTGAGTGCGGAGGAATCTGAGTGCGGAGGGATCTGAGTGCGGAGGAATCTGAGTGCAGAGGGATCTGAGTGCAGAGGGATCTGAGTGCGGAGGGATCTGAGTGCAGAGGGATCTGAGTGCAGAGGGATCTGAGTGCGGAGGGATCTGTGTGCAGAGGGATTTGAGTGCGGAGGGATCTGAGTGCGGAGGGATCTGAGTGCGGAGGGATCTGAGTGCGGAGGAATCTGAGTGCCGAGGGATCTGAGTGCAGAGGGATCTGAGTGCGGAGGAATCTGAGTGCGGAGGGATCTGAGTGCGGAGGGATCTGAGTGCGGAGGAATCTGAGTGCAGAGGGATCTGAGTGCAGAGGGATCTGAGTGGAGAGGGATCTGAGTGCGGAGGAATCTGAGTGCAGAGGGATCTGAGTGCAGAGGGATCTGAGTGCGGAGGGATCTGAGTGCGGAGGAATCTGAGTGCGGAGGAATCTGAGTGCAGAGGGATCTGAGTGCGTAGGGATCTGAGTGCGGAGGGATCTGAGTGCGGAGGGATCTGAGTGCGGAGGAATCTGAGTGCGGAGGGATTTGAGTGTGGAGGGATCTGAGTGCGGAGGAATCTGAGTGCAGAGGGATCTGAGTGTAGAGGGATCTGAGTGCAGAGGGATCTGAGTGCGGAGGGATCTGAGTGCGGAGGGATCTGAGTGCGGAGGAATCTGAGTGCGGAGGAATCTGAGTGCGGAGGGATCTGAGTGCGGAGGGATCTGAGTGCGGAGGGATCTGAGTGCGGAGGGATCTGAGTGCGGAGGGATCTGAGTGCAGAAGGATCTGAGTGCGGAGGGATCTGAGTGCGGAGGATCTGAGTGCGGAGGAATCTGAGTGCAGAGGGATCTGAGTGCGGAGGGATCTGAGTGCGGAGGGATCTGAGTGCAGAGGGATCTGAGTGCGGAGGGATCTGAGTGCGGAGGGATCTGAGTGCGGAGGGATCTGAGTGCGGAGGAATCTGAGTGCGGAGGAATCTGAGTGCGGAGGGATCTGAGTGCGGAGGGATCTGAGTGCGGAGGGATCTGAGTGCGGAGGGATCTGTGTGCGGAGGGATCTGAGTGCAGAAGGATCTGAGTGCGGAGGAATCTGAGTGCGGAGAGATCTGAGTGCGGAGGGATCTGAGTACGGTGGATTCTGAGTGCAGAGGGATCTGAGTGCAGAGGGATCTGAGTGCAGAGGGATCTGAGTGCAGAGGGATCTGAGTGCAAAGGGATCTGAGTGCTGAGGGATCTGAGTGCGGAGGGATCTGAGTGCGGAGGGATCTGAGTGCGGAGGAATCTGAGTGCAGAGGGATCTGAGTGCAGAGGGATCTGAGTGCGGAGGAATCTGAGTGCAGAGGGATCTGAGTGCAGAGGGATCTGAGTGCAGAGGGATCTGAGTGCGGAGGGATCTGAGTGCAGAGGGATCTGAGTGCAGAGGGATCTGAGTGCGGAGGGATCTGAGTGCAGAGGGATTTGAGTGCGGAGGGATCTTAGTGCGGAGGGATCTGAGTGCGGAGGGATCTGAGTGCGGAGGGATCTGAGTGCAGAAGGATCTGAGTGCGGAGGAATCTGAGTGCGGAGAGATCTGAGTGCGGAGGTCTCTGAGTACGGTGGAATCTGAGTGCAGAGGGATCTGAATGCAGAGGGATCTGAGTGCAGAGGGATCTGAGTGCGGAGGAATCTGAGTGCAGAGGGATCTGAGTGCAGAGGGATCTGAGTGCAGAGGGATCACAGTGCGTAAGGATCTGAGTGTAGAGGGATCTGAGTGCGGAGGGATCTGAGTGCGGAGGGATCTGTGTGCAGAGGGATCTGAGTGCGTAGGGATCTGAGTGCGGAGGGATCTGAGTGCGGAGGGATCTGAGTGCAGAGGAATCTGAGTGCGGAGGGATCTGAGTGCGGAGGGATCTGAGTGCGGAGGGATCTGAGTGCGGAGGGATCTGAGTGGGGAGGGATCTGAGTGCGGAGGAATTTGAGTGCGGAGGGATCTGAATGCACAGGGATCTGAGTGCAGAGGAATCTGAGTACGGAGAGATCTGAGTGCGGAGGGATCTGTGTGCAGAGGAATCTGAGTGGAGAGGGATCTGAGTGCAGAGGGATCTGAGTGCAGAGGGATCTGAGTGCGGAGGAATCTGAGTGCAGAGGGATCTGAGTGCAGAGGGATCTTAGTGCAGAGGGATCTGAGTGCGGAGGGATCTGAGTGCAGAGGGATCTGAGTGCAGAGGGATCTGAGTGCGGAGGGATCTGAGTGCAGAGGGATCTGAGTGCGGAGGGATCTTAGTGCGGAGGGATCTGAGTGCGGAGGGATCTTAGTGCGGAGGAATCTGAGTGCGGAGGGATCTGAGTGCCGAGGGATCTGAGTGCGGAGGGATTTGAGTGCGGAGGGATCTGAGTGCGGAGGGATCTGAGTGCGGAGGAATCTGAGTGGGAGGGATCTGAGTGCAGAGGGATCTGAGTGCGGAGGAATCTGAGTGCGGAGGGATCTGAGTGCGGAGGGATCTGAGTGCGGAGGAATCTGAGTGCAGAGGGATCTGAGTGCAGAGGGATCTGAGTGGAGAGGGATCTGAGTGCGGAGGAATCTGAGTGCAGAGGGATCTGAGTGCGGAGGGATCTGAGTGCGGAGGGATCTGAGTGCGGAGGAATCTGAGTGCGGAGGGATCTGAGTGCAGAGGGATCTGCGTGCGGAGGGATCTGAGTGCGGAGGGATCTGTGTGCAGAGAAATCTGAGTGCAGAGGGATCTGAGTGTAGAGGGATCTGAGTACGGAGGAATCTAAGTGCAGAGGGATCTGAGTGCAGAGAGATCTGAGTGCGGAGGGATCTGAGTGCGGAGGGATCTGAGTGCGGAGGGATCTGAGTGCGGAGGAATCTCAGTGCATAGGGATCTGAGTGCGGAGGGATCTGAGTGCGGAGGGATCTGAGTGCGGAGGGATCTGAGTGCGGAGGGATCTGAATGCGGAGGAATCTGAGTGCGGAGGGATCTGAGTGCTGAGGGATCTGAGTGCGGAGGAATCTGAGTACAGAGGGATCTGAGTGCAGAGGGATCTGAGTGCAGTGGGATCTGAGTGCGGAGGGATCAGAGTGCGGAGGGATCTGAGTGCGGAGGGATCTGAGTGCGGAGGGATATGAGTGCGGAGGGATCTGAGTGCGGAGGGATCTCAGTGCGGAGGAATCTGAGTGCGGAGGGATCTGAGTGCGGAGGGATCTGAGTGCAGAGAAATCTGAGTGCAGAGGGATCTGAGTGCAGAGGGATCTGAGTGCAGAAGAATCTGAGTGCAGAGGGATCAGAGTGCGGAGGGATCTGAGTGCGGAGGGATCTGAGTGCGGAGGAATCTGAGTGCGGAGGGATCTGAGTGCGGAGGGATCTGAGTGCGGAGGAATCTGAGTGCAAAGGGATCTGAGTGCAGAGGGATCTGAGTGCAGAGTGATCTGAGTGCGGAGGAATCTGAGTGCGGAGGGATCTGAATGCAGAGGGATCTGAGTGCGAAGGGATCTGAGTGCGGAGGGATCTGAGTGCGGAGGGATCTGAGTGCGGAGGGATCTGAGTGCGGAGAAATCTGAGTGCGGAGGGATCTGAGTGCGGAGGGATCTGATTGCGGAGGGATCTGAGTGCAGAGGGATCTGAGTGCGGAGGAATCTGAGTGCGGAGGGATCCGAGTGCGGAGGGATCTGAGTGCAGAGGGATCTGAGTGCGGAGGGATCTGAGTGCGGAGGGATCTGAGTACGGAGGGATCTGAGTGCAGAGGGATCTGAGTGCGGAGGGATCTGAGTGCGGAGGGATCTGAGTGCGGAGGGATCTGAGTGCGGAGGAATCTCAGTGCATAGGGATCTGAGTGCGGAGGGATCTGAGTGCGGAGGGATCTGAGTGCGGAGGGATCTGAGTGCGGAGGGATCTGAGTGCGGAGGAATCTGAGTGCGGAGGGATCTGAGTGCTGAGGGATCTGAGTGCGGAGGAATCTGAGTACAGAGGGATCTGAGTGCAGAGGGATCTGAGTGCAGTGGGATCTGAGTGCGGAGGGATCAGAGTGCGGAGGGATCTGAGTGCGGAGGGATCTGAGTGCGGAGGGATCTGAGTGCGGAGGGATCTGAGTGCGGAGGGATCTCAGTGCGGAGGAATCTGAGTGCGGAGGGATCTGAGTGCGGAGGGATCTGAGTGCGGAGAAATCTGAGTGCGGAGGGATCTGAGTGCGGAGGGATCTGAGTGCGGAGGGATCTGAGTGCAGAGGGATCTGAGTGCGGAGGAATCTGAGTGCGGAGGGATCCGAGTGCGGAGGGATCTGAGTGCAGAGGGATCTGAGTGCGGAGGGATCTGAGTGCGGAGGGATCTGAGTACGGAGGGATCTGAGTGCAGAGGGATCTGAGTGCGGAGGGATCTGAGTGCGGAGGGATCTGAGTGCGGAGGGATCTGAGTGCGGAGGAATCTCAGTGCATAGGGATCTGAGTGCGGAGGGATCTGAGTGCGGAGGGATCTGAGTGCGGAGGGATCTGAGTGCGGAGGGATCTGAATGCGGAGGAATCTGAGTGCGGAGGGATCTGAGTGCTGAGGGATCTGAGTGCGGAGGAATCTGAGTACAGAGGGATCTGAGTGCAGAGGGATCTGAGTGCAGTGGGATCTGAGTGCGGAGGGATCTGAGTGCGGAGGGATCTGAGTGCGGAGGGATCTGAGTGCGGAGGGATATGAGTGCGGAGGGATCTGAGTGCGGAGGGATCTCAGTGCGGAGGAATCTGAGTGCGGAGGGATCTGAGTGCGGAGGGATCTGAGTGCAGAGAAATCTGAGTGCAGAGGGATCTGAGTGCAGAGGGATCTGAGTGCAGAAGAATCTGAGTGCAGAGGGATCTGAGTGCGGAGGGATCTGAGTGCGGAGGGATCTGAGTGCGGAGGAATCTGAGTGCGCAGGGATCTGAGTGCGGAGGGATCTGAGTGCGGAGGAATCTGAGTGCAAAGGGATCTGAGTGCAGAGGGATCTGAGTGCAGAGTGATCTGAGTGCGGAGGAATCTGAGTGCGGAGGGATCTGAATGCAGAGGGATCTGAGTGCGGAGGGATCTGAGTGCGGAGGGATCTGAGTGCGGAGGGATCTGAGTGCGGAGAGATCTGAGTGCGGAGAAATCTGAGTGCGGAGGGATCTGAGTGCGGAGGGATCTGATTGCGGAGGGATCTGAGTGCAAAGGGATCTGAGTGCGGAGGAATCTGAGTGCGGAGGGATCCGAGTGCGGAGGGATCTGAGTGCAGAGGGATCTGAGTGCGGAGGGATCTGAGTGCGGAGGGATCTGAGTACGGAGGGATCTGAGTGCAGAGGGATCTGAGTGCGGAGGGATCTGAGTGCGGAGGGATCTGAGTGCAGAGGGATCTTAGTGCGGAGGGATCTGAGTGCAAAGGGATTTGAGTGCAAAGGGATCTGAGTGCAGAGGGATCTGAGTGCAGAGGGATCTGAGTGCAGAGGGATCTGAGTGCGGAGGGATCTGAGTGCAGAGGGATCTGAGTGCGGAGGGATCTGAGTGCGGAGGGATCTGAGTGCGGAGGGATCTGAGTACGGAGGGATCTGAGTGCAGAGGGATCTGAGTGCAGAGGGATCTGAGTGCGGAGGGATCTGAGTGCGGAGGGATCTGAGTGCGGAGGGATCTGAGTGCGGAGAAATCAGAGTTCGGAGGAATCTGAGTACGGAGGGATCTGAGGTCAGAGGGATCTGAGTGCAGAGGGATCTGAGTGCGGAGGGATCTGAGTGCGGAGGGATCTTAGTGCGGAGGGATCTGAGTGCAGAGGGATCTGAGTGCAGAGGGATCTGAGTGCAGAGGGATCTGAGTTCGGAGGGATCTGAGTGCAGAGGGATCTGAGTGCGGAGGAATCTGAGTGCGGAGGGATCTTAGTGCGGAGGGATCTGAGTGCGGAGGGATCTGAGTGCAGAGGAATCTAAGAACGGAGGGATCTGAGGTCAGAGGGATCTGAGTGCATAGGGATCTGAGTACGGAGGGATCTGAGTGCGGAGGGATCTTAGTGCGAAGGGATCTGAGTGCGGAGGGATCTGAGTGCGGAGGAATCTGAGTGCGGAGGGATCTGAGTGCGGAGGGATCTGAGTGCGGAGGGATCCCTCCGAATCTCAGATCCCTCTGCACTCAGATCCCTCTGCACTCAGATTCCTCCGCACTCAGATCCCTCTGCACTCAGATCCCTCCGCACTCAGATCCCTCCGGACACAGATCCCTCTGCACTCAGATCCCTCCGTACTCAGATCCCTCCGCACTCAGATCCCTCTGCACTCAGATCCCTCTGCACTCAGATCCCTCTGCACTCAGATCCCTCTGCACTCAGATCCCTTTGCACTCAGATCCCTCCGCACTAAGATCCCTCTGCACTCAGATCCCTCCACACTCAGATCCCTCCGTACTCAGATCCCTCTGCACTCAGATCCCTCCGCACTCAGATCCCTCCGCACTCAGATCCCTCCGCACTCAGATCCCTCTGCACTCAGATCCCTCTGCACTCAGATCCCTCCGCACTCAGATTCCTCCGCACTCAGATCCCTCTACACTCAGATCCCTCCGCAATCAGATCCCTCCGCACTCAGATCCCTCCGCACTCAGATTTCTCCGCACTCAGATTTCTCCGCACTCAGATCCCTCCGCACTCAGATCCCTCCGCACTCAGATCCCTCCGCACTCAGATCCCTCCGCACTCAGATCCCTCCGCACTCAGATCCCTCTGCACTCAGATCCCTCCGCACTCAGATTCCTCCGCACTCAGATCCCTCTGCACTCAGATCACTCTGCACTCAGATTCCTCCGCACTCAGATCCCTCCGCACTCAGATCCCTCCGCACTCAGATTTCTCCGCACTCAGATCCCTCCGCACTCAGATCCCTCCGCACTCAGATCCCTCTGCACTCAGATCCTTCTGCACTCAGATCCCTCTGCACTCAGATCCCTCTGCACTCAGATCCCTCCCCACTCAGATCCCTCCGCACTCAGATCCCTCCGCACTCAGATCCCTCTGCACTCAGATCCCTCTGACCTCAGATCCCTCCGCACTCAGATTCCTCCGCACTCAGATCCCTCCGCACTCAGATCCCTATGCACTCAGATCCCTCCGCACTCAGATTCCTCCGCACTCAGATCCCACCGCACTCAGATCCCTCCGCACTCAGATCCCTCCGCACTCAGATCCCTCCGCACTCAGATTCCTCCGCACTCAGATCCCACCGCACTCAGATCCCTCCGCACTCAGATCCCTCCGCACTCAGATTCCTCCGCACTCAGATTCATCCGCACTCAGATCCCTCCGCACTCAGATCCCTCCGCACTCAGATCCCTCCGAACTCAGATCCCTCCGCACTCAGATCCCTCCGCACTCAGATCCCTCCGCACTCAGATCCCTCCGCACTCAGATCCCTCCGCACTCAGATCCCTCCGCACTCAGATCCCTCCGCACTCAGATAACTCCGCACTCAGATAACTCCGCACTCAGATCCCTCTGCACTCAGATCCCTTCGCACTCAGATCCCTCTGCACTCAGATCCCTCTGCACTCAGATCCCTCTGCACTCAGATCCCTCCGCACTCAGATCCCTCCACACTCAGATCCCTGTGCACTCAGATCCCTCTGCACTCAGATTTCTCCGCACTCAGATCCCTCTGCACTCAGATCCCTCCGCACTCAGATTCCTCCGCACTCAGATCCCTCCGCACTCAGATCCCTCCGCACTCAGATCCACCTGCACTCAGATCATTCTGCACTCAGATCCCTCCGCACTCAGATACCTCCGCACTCAGATCCCTCCGCACTCAGATCCCTCCGCACTCAGATCCCTCCGCACTCAGATCCCTCTTCACTCAGATCCCTGCGCACTCAGATCCCTCTGCACTCAGATCCCTCCGCACTCAGATCCCTCCGCACTCAGATCCCTCCGCACTCAGATCCCTCTGCACTCAGATCCCTCCGCACTCAGATCCCTCCGCACTCAGATCCCTCCGCACTCAGATTCCTCCGCACTCAGATCCCTCCGCACTCAGATCCCTCCGCACTCAGATCCCTCCGCACTCAGATCCCTCCGCACTCAGATTCATCCGCACTCAGATCCCTCCGCACTCAGATCCCTCCGCACTCAGATCCCTCCGCACTCAGATCCCTCCGCACTCAGATCCCTCCGCACTCAGATCCCTCCGCACTCAGATCCCTCCGCACTCAGATCCCTCCGCACTCAGATCCCTCCGCACTCAGATCCCTCCGCACTCAGATCCCTCCGCACTCAGATCCCTCCGCACTCAGATCCCTCCGCACTCAGATAACTCCGCACTCAGATCCCTCTGCACTCAGATCCCTTCGCACTCAGATACCTCTGCACTCAGATCCCTCTGCACTCAGATCCCTCTGCACTCAGATCCCTCCGCACTCAGATCCCTCCGCACTCAGATCCCTGTGCACTCAGATCTCTCTGCACTCAGATTTCTCCGCACTCAGATCCCTCCGCACTCAGATCCCTCCGCACTCAGATTCCTCCGCACTCAGATCCCTCCGCACTCAGATCCCTCTGCACTCAGATCCACCTGCACTCAGATCATTCTGCACTCAGATCCCTCTGCACTCAGATCCCTCTGCACTCAGATCCCTCCGCACTCAGATCACTCTGCACTCAGATCCCTCTGCACTCAGATCCCCCGCACTCAGATCCCTCCGCACTCAGATCCCTCCGCACTCAGATCCCTCCACACTCAGATCCCTCTGCACTCAGATCCCTCCGCACTCAGATCCCTCCGCACTCAGATCCCTCCGCACTCAGATCGTTCTGCACTCAGATCCCTCTGCACTCAGATCCCTCCGCACTCAGATCCCTCCGCACTCAGATCCCTCCGCACTCAGATACCTCCGCACTCAGATCCCTCCGCACTCAGATCCCTCCGCACTCAGATCCCTCCGCACTCAGATCCCTCCGCACTCAGATCCCTCCGCACTCAGATCCCTCCGCACTCAGATCCCTCCGCACTCAGATTCCTCCGCACTCAGATCCCTCTGCACTCAGATCCCTCCGCACTCAGATCCCTCCGCCCTCAGATCCCTCCGCACTCAGATCCCTCTGCACTCAGATCCCTCTGCACTCAGATCCCTCTGCACTCAGATCGCTCTGCACTCAGATCCCTCTGCACTCAGATCACTCCGCACTCAGATCCCTCTGCACTCAGATCCCTCCGCACTCAGATCCCTCCGCACTCAGATCCCTCTGCACTCAGATCCCTCCGCACTCAGATCCCTCCGCACTCAGATCCCTCCACACCCAATTCCCTCCGCACTCAGATCCCTCCGCACTCAGATCCCTCTGCACTCAGATCCCTCCGCACTCAGATCCCTCCGCACTCAGATGCCTCCGCACTCAGATCCCTCCGCACTCAGATCCCTCCGCACTCAGATCCCTCCGCACTCAGATCCCTCCGCAATCAGATCCCTCCGAACTCAGATCCCTCCGCACTCAGATCCCTCCGCACTCAGATCCCTCCGCACTCAGATCCCTCCGCACTCAGATTCCTCTGCACTCAGATCCCTCCACACTCAGATCCCTCCGCACTCAGATCCCTCCGCACTCAGATCCCTCCTCACTCAGATCCCTCTGCACTCAGATCCCTTCGCACTCAGATCCCTCTGCACTCAGATCCCTCTGCACTCAGATCCTTCCGCACTCAGATCCCTCCGCACTCAGATCCCTCTGCACTCAGATCCCTCCGCACTCAAATCCCTCCGCACTCAGATCCCTCTGCACTCAGATCCCTCCGCACTCAGATCCCTCCGCACTCAGATCCCTCCGCACTCAGATCCCTCCGCACTCAGATCCCTTTGCACTCAGATCCCTTCACACTCAGATCCCTCTGCACTCAGATCCCTCCGCACTCAGATCCCTCCGCACTCAGATCCTTCCGCACTCAGATCCCTCCGCACTCAGATCCCTCTGCACTCAGATCCTTTCACACTCAGATCCATCTGCACTCAGATCCCTCTGCACTCAGATCCCTCGGCACTCAGATCCCTCCGCACTCAGATCCCTCTGCACTCAGATCCCTCCGCACTCAGATCCCTTCGCACTCAGATCCCTCTGCACTCAGATCCTTCTGCACTCAGATCACTCTGCACTCAGATCCCTCTGCACTCAGATCCCTCCACACTCAGATCCCTCCACACTCAGATCCCTCCGCACTCAGATCCCTCCGCACTCAGATCCCTCCGCACTCAGATCCCTCCGCACTCAGATCCCTCCGCACTCAGATCCCTTCGCACTCAGATCCCTCTGCACTCAGATCCCTCTGCACTCAGATCCCTCTGCACTCAGATCCCTCTGCACTCAGATCCCTTCACACTCAGATTTATCTGCACTCAGATCCCTCTGCACTCAGATCCCTCCGCACTCAGATCCCTCCGCACTCAGATCCCTCTTCACTCAGATCCTCTGCACTCAGATCCCTCTGCACTCAGATCCCTCTGCACTCAGATCCCTCTGCACTCAGATCCCTCCGCACTCAGATCCCTCCGCACTCAGATCCCTCCGCACTCAGATCCCTCCGCACTCAGATCCCTCCGCACTCAGATCCCTCCGCACTCAGATCCCTCCGCACTCAGATCCCTCCGCACTCAGATCCCTCCGCACTCAGATCCCTTCGCACTCAGATCCCTCCGCACTCAGATCCCTCTGCACTCAGATCCCTCTGCACTCAGATCCCTCCGCACTCAGATCCCTCTGCACTCAGATCCCTCCGCACTCAGATCCCTCCGCACTCAGATCCCTCCCCACTCAGATCCCTCCGCACTCAGATCCCTCCGCACTCAGATCCCTTCGCACTCAGATCCCTCTGCACTCAGATCCCTCCGCACTCAGATCCCTCCGCACTCAGATCCCTCTGCACTCAGATCCCTCCGCACTCAGATCCCTACGCACTCAGATCCCTCCGCACTCAGATCCCTCCTCACTCAGATCCC